GTGTCATTTTACCTTCCTCATTGCTGCTTCTCATTCTTATCTTTCCGCCTCCTCTTTGCCTTTATTGTCTTTGTCTTTATTTTAATCTGATACTCTGGGATAATCTATTGATACCCTCCGACCCCAAGATGATTAAAGTGACATGATTATGGATATTTCTCAGAACATGAAATCATGTTGGTAAACCTAGCCAATGGGACTGAAAATGAGGGTGAACAGGTTAATTGGAGGTAAAAATAAAAAAAGAAGACTGAAAACAGGACATGGACCAGAAGCAAAATTGGGAATGAAAAATGAAGGAAAGAGATTGTAGCAATGTTAATATGCAACAAATGTTTTCTTCTGTTGACATTTAGTTTGTCTGCACCAGCTATGCCAATCACAAATGGAATATCAATGTTAGGAAAAACTGTGATGCAGCCCTTATTCTGATGTTTATTTATTTATTTTATTTTATTGGACTTCTACCCCGCCTATCTAGACCACAGGTCTACTCTGGGTGGCATTTATTTGTTTGTTTGTTTGTTTGATTGAGTGAATGATTGAGTGAGTGATACCCCACCCATCTGGCCTATAAGACCACTCTAGGCGGCTTCCAATATAATATAATGCATTACAATGTTAAAAACAGTAAAAACCCAACAAATATATACGATAAATCCAAGATGGCAAAATGTGAATTTAAGATAGCGCAGGAGGGAAAGCCTGCCCAAATAGCCAGGTCTTGACTTTTCTTCTGAATACACCCAGAGAGGGAACCAGGCAGATCTCCACGGGCAGGTTGTTCCAGAAGTGAGGGGCCACTGCTGAGAAGGCTCGGTTCCTCATTCTTTCCTTCCGGACTTCCCTCGGTGTTAGGCCCCTCAGCCGCCCGGGCTGGCTGGAACAAGTGACTTGGCAGAACTGGGTGGGAGGAGGTACTCTGCCAGATATCGAGATCCTAAACCATTTAGGGCTTTATATATCATCATTAAGACTTTGAAATCAACACGGAAGTGAATAGGCAGCCAGTGCAAGGCGGCCAGCATGGGGGAAATATGTTGGTACCTTTTCATCCCTGTGAGAAGTCTGGCTGCCATATTCTGCACGATCTGGAGTTTCTGCGTCAGTCTCAAAGGCAGCCCCACATAGAGTGCATTACAGTAGTCTAATCTTGAGACTACGAGTGCATGGACCAAAGTGGTGAGTGCTCCCACATCAAGATAGGGATGCAGCTGGGCAATCTGCTGAAGATGGAAGTGTGCGGAACGGACCACCGACACCACAAAGGTTTCCATGGTAAGCGCCGTGTCCAGATGTACATCCAAACTGCGAACCTCACTCTTGGTGGTAAGAGTTACCCACCCCCAAAGAGAGAGAGTTTCCCAAACCACTGATGCCTAGGGCACCCACCCAAAGGACCTCTGTCTTGCCTGGGTTCAGCCTCAGTCCATTCTCCTGCATCCATTGCTGAACGGCTTACAGGCAGCGCTCAAGGGACGAAACTGCATCCACTGTTGTTGGAAAAAGGAGATCTAGAGCTGAGTATCATTTATTATTAATTAATTAATTAATTAATTAATTAATTAATTAATTATCCTGCCTATCTAGTCGGTTAAGACCACTCTAGGCGGCTTACAGAAAACATACAGTAATATATATAAAATCAATTCTATATAAAGAAAAAACTTTCAACAAATTAGGACAAAGAGTAGGGAGAGGAGAGGAAGGGGAGATCAGGAATTGATTGAGGGGAAGGCCTGTCGGAACATCAATGTTTTTAGTTGCTTTTTAAAAATACCCAGCGAGGGAGCTGCGCGAATATCAGGAGGTAGATTATTCCAGAGGTGAGGAGCCACCGCGTACTGATGGCATGAAGCCCTACATTCCCTGATGACCCATCCCAGCAGCCTAATATAGATGTTAAACAGCATTGGAGAGATGATCAAGCCCTGCGGAACCCCACAATTGAGGCTCCACGGGGCCGAGAAACTCCAATCTGCACTCTCTGGGGATGGTTCTCCAAGAAGGAACAGAGCCAGGCAAGAGCCAGGCCACCAATTCCCAACGCAGAGAGCCTCCCCAGGAGAATACTGTGGTCGACGGTATCAAAGGCAGCTGAGAGGAGCTGAGAGGAGGACCAGCAGAGACATTTTGCCCTGCGGCCTCCCTCAGGAGGTCATTAAACAGGGTGACGACTACCGTTTCCATGCCTTGGCATGGCCTGAAGCCTGACGAATGGATCCAGGGCATTGGTTTCATCCAGAAGAGCCTGCAATTGATCAGCCCCCACCCTCTCAACTACCTTGCCAAGGAAAGAAACATTGACGATGGGCCTATAATTGACGATACCATCCGCCACCAAGCTTGGTTTCTTCCTAATGTGCATCTCCTTGAGAGATGAGAGCCCCATTAATTATTGCTGTAGCCCATTCAGATGTTATAGGCTTGGCTGCTTTGATTAGCCAGGCTGGGCAAGGGTCAAGGGAGGAGGTGGTGGCGTGACAGCGATCAAGCACTCTGTCCACCATGTCTGACATTACTGGCTGAAAGTGGTTAAATCTCATCTGGCAAGGCTGAGTGCTTAACGTCTCTGCTCAATCCAATGTTTTCAAATAGGAGGTAAGATCCTGGCGGATGGCCTCCACTTTTGATTTTTAAAAGGCTGCAGATTGGTCAGGTGAGATGCTAGTGGGAGGCCAGTCACTATGACCAACTCCGGATAGATTGCGAACTATACGAAAGAGTTCCACCTGCTGATTGGAAGCTTTGCTTATCGGGGCAGCAAACTAAGATCGGCTAGCAGCCTTCACCTTAGATTGGTAAAGGCTAGTTCCGATCCTGACAGCTATCTGGTTATTTTCCGCTGGGTTCTGCCTCCATGTGCGCTCTATTCTTCTCCTATTTCGCTTCATTGATCGCAGCTCCTGGTTGAACCAGGGTGAAGTGGGTTCTCTGCAGGATGTGTTTTTTTGTTTGTTTTGGTACCAAATCAAAAAAAAAAAATACTTTTAGAAAAGTAATAAAAGTTTGAACCAGGGTGAAGGGGGATCTCTGCAGGATGTGTTTTCTTGTTTGTTTTGGTACCAAATTTTTTAAAAAAATACTTTTAGAAAAGTAATAAAAGTTAATTTTCCAGTTATTCTTGAGAAAGAAGGAAGTAAAGCATTGTTGTTGTTTTAAAAATGAAACTATAACAGTAATGAATTTGAGTGAAGCTTTGGATGTAAAACTAAGTGCTTTTTTAAATGAACTAAGCTCAACATGTAAAATCCTCAAAACTCACAAGCTGATGAGTTGGAAAGAGATGGTAGGAAAGGAGGACTGAAGCATGGCCTGGTGTGCAGACGAATAGCAGAAAGAGAATGTAAATGGGAGGATTTCCCCATTTCCCACTGTGTGGGTTTGGATGGGAAGCCGCTTAGCCAAGACAGCATGCCTTTGTGAAGATAGGTAGGCAGAGTGTTAATCAGTAAAGGAGCTGTCCAGCCACAATACAGAGTTAGGGGAATGAAGTGCTGAACACTCAGGGAACTGTCCGGGAGTTTTCAGGAGATAAGGACCAAGTTGATAAAACTGTCAAACTTGCAGCTTCCCCTGGGTAGCTCAGATAGTTAGTCTGGGTGAACAATCCTTCTTGCTGGCCTGGATAAACCTTTTAACTGCAAACATTACTTGTCCTAAGTAAAGGTCTGAAATAAGATTTTAAAATTCATCCAATAAAACTCATGTAAAAGGGGAAACGGACTCTCAAGGCTTTGGAAAATGGATTTTATTCACGAGAAGAGCCAATGCATTTTGGCAAATTAATTATTTTATAGCCATCCCCAGGGCAACAAATTAACAGTGCCTACAGAGATCTCTGCTAATCAATTTACAAAGGTCAAGAGATGTCAAGTAGCCACTTAATCACCCAAAATGTGTCAGCTTCTTTCAGCAAATAAAACCCATTTTTCTACATCTTTGTCTTTGCTTTCACACTAGATCTGAAATGAGATGTCTTATATTACAAACCAAATTTGCTTTCATTTTTGAACTAGTTTTAGTTCTGTTTAATTGCTGTTTCACTTCTTAAGGCTTCACTTGGGATTTTTAGGAGGTGGAGGGGTTACAGAGTCATGGATACATTCAGCTGGGATACATCAAGCCCCCCCAACTCTTCATGATGTCTCAACAGGTCATCTTCTTATAATTTAACTAACTACATTTCTATGTTGTCAGATAAACAAAGACTTATGAATGCCTTACAAATTAAAGACTAAACCCATAAAAATATTAAGGGCACAATGATAAACCCTAAAAGGCAATTTGAACAACTGGAGACTACAGCCCCCAGCAGCAAAGAAGAACAGCAATGCATGTTTTAAAAAAAAAACACCTTTAATTTCAAGATAGTTTTTGAAGTTGATGAGAAAGCCTAGGAGAATTAAGAAAGATTCTCAGTTGGTCAAAAAAAGAGAGTACAGAATGAACTTAGTGGTCTTTGTGATTCTTGTGGGAATCCTTTGCTCCCCATGGTTCTAAGCCATGAGGGAGCTCATGCTGGTGTCTTCCTCTGATCTCCCATCTGAGTCAAACTTTGGGAGCTGAGAGATCCTGAGAGAACTGTTGGGATAGCTCAGCGGCTTAGGTCTCTGGCTTTGGAATCAGAGGTTAAGAGTTCAGTTCCTTGCTGTGCCTCTTTGACGAGGGCCGGACTCGATGATCCATAGGGTGCCTTCCAGCTCTGCAGTTTTAAGATTATAAACAGCAAAAATTGAGAGAGAGTGAATAGAGAGAGAGAAAGTAGAAAAGGTCAGGAATGAAAAAAAGATTCAAATGTGAATTATATTAATTTGAAATAATTATTTGTTTCTGTGGCTGCAGCTCCCTAGCTTAATTTTAATGTTAAAAACACTTGTCCCAATTTCTCCCTACTCATAATTTTTCTAAACAAATTTTCTTGGTTTTTTTTTTTTTTTTTTTTTTTTATTTTTCTAAACAAATGTTCTTGGTTTTTTTTTGCTTCTGAAATCTTATAGCACAGCCAAGTACAGTGTGGTGACATTTCTACCTCGATTCTTGTATGAGCAGATCAGAAAAGCTGCTAATGCTTTCTTTCTCTTCATTGCCTTACTGCAGGTATGTCTGTGTTGATACATTACAATAAATGCATTTGGTTGCACATACACAGCTCTGTTAAAAATGATGAAAAGTAGATGTTTTGGAAGTGCTCAATACTCTGGAAATAATCCTGTAACTCTGGTGAGCAAAGTGCAGCCCTCTAGATGGTGTTGGACTGCAGCTCCCAGTAGCCCTGCATAGCATATCCGGTGGTGAGGAATGCTGGGAATTACGTGCAAAAACATCTGGAGCCTTCACTTTGCCTCGCATCTGTCCTATAGCAAAGACGTTATGGCTAGGTAGACATTGTTATAGCATGGTATACTGAATGTACTATTAATTTTACAAAACTGACCATGTTTCTTTGTTAATCAGTTCACTTGAAAGTTAGTTGAGGTTTCTACAAGTTTTGGATAAGCTAGGTTTAATGTATCAAACAGCCTTTCCCAAGCCAGATGTGCTGGACTAAAACATCCATCTTCCAAGTCATCTAGTTGTGACAGTGGATTTAATAGTCCAGATCATCTGAAGGGTATGAGTTTGGGAAATCTTGGTGTAGAATGAGATAGACAGATGATTAATGATATATGTTGTGTCAGAGCTAGAGTAGAACAGTATGAGTTGTATGTCTTGTAATTGCTTCTGGCTTACCAAAACAGAGTTTTCAAGGTATGTGAAACATCCAAGAATTGGTTTACCCTTCCCTGGCCTCATGAGTTTCCATGGCTGAGCAGGGATTTGAACCCAAGTCCCCTTAGTTCTAGTCTAACATTTTACCGAGCACACTATACTGACTTTTGGAGATGGAAATACAGATGTCCTTATCTGTAGAGGGTGTGTTTTCTAGCTCATGGCTCAACCAAGGTCAGTGGCGTTAAGATAGAGAGAATGTAACTTAATGCTTACCAGCCAGAGGGATCAAAGTTTCACACTACCCAGCACACTACACTGACTTTTGGAGATGGAAATACAGGTGTCCTTATCTGTAGAGGGTGTGTTTTCCAGCTCATGGCTCAACCAAGGTCAGGGCGTTAAGATGGAGAGAATGTAACTTAATTCTTACCAGCCAGAGGGATCAAAGTTTCACACTCTTGTCCCTTCCAGTGCCTAAAGCAGTGTCTTCCAGCTTTAGGTCCCCAACTTCCCCAACCCCAGGTAGTGTGGGTGTGCTTGTGGAAGTTGTAGTTTGTCATCATGTGAAGTTCCAGTGCCAGGAAAGGTTAGAGTAAAGAGAACTTGGGTCCTGAGCACACCTAGGTACTAATCTCAAGGGTGAATGACACCTATGAAATGTCAACCTGCCACAGTGGGAGGGAGGGAGGGAGGAAGGACAGCTTCAGAAGAAAATAGAATAGGGGATTTGGAATGGTCATATTTAGAATGGAAAAGTGGCATCAGCGGTGCTTAACCTGTGCCCCATCCCATAGTTTCCTGCTCTCTTTCATCCTCCTATGTTGTATTTCTTGTGTGATTGGAACCCCCTTGAGGAAAAGCAGCAGGAGGGGGTATGATCTAGAAAGGAGAAACAACATGCAGGAAATATTTAAACATGCTTTCCCTGTCACCTTTCTACTGTACTGTTTTTCTATCCTGCTTTTCTTTTAACTGTGTTGAGATTCCTGAGTATTTCTTTGTAACTGCATAATCTTTTGCCCTGTTTTTTTAACATCTCTTTATTCTTCCAATACAGCAAATTCCAGATGTCTCTCCAACTGGAAGATATACCACCTTGGTGCCATTGATATTTATTCTAACAGTTGCTGGCATCAAAGAAATTATAGAAGACTATGTGAGTACATTTTAGGTGTTTGGAGGAAATGCATTCTGCAACTTGGCTAGGGATAATCAAGTTACATACCACATGTTGTTGTTTAGTCGTTAAGTTGTGTCTGATTCTTTGTGCCCCCATGGACCAGAGCATGCCAGGCCCTCCTGTCTTCCCCTGCCTCCCGGAGTTTGGTCAAATTCATGTTGGCAGCTTTGATGACACTGTCCAACCATCTCGTCCTCTGTCGTCCCCTTCTCCTCTTGCCTTCACGCTTTCCCAACATCAGGGTCTTTTCCCGGGAGTCTTCTCTTCTCGTGAGATGGCCAAAGTATTGGAGCCTCAGCTTCAGGGTCTGTCCTCCAGTGAGCCCTCAGGGTTGATTTCCTTCTGTTTGCCAGGAGGTGATAGGACCAGTGGCCATGATCTTAGTTTTTTTGATGTTGAGCTTCAGACCGTTTTTTGCACTCTCCTCTTTCACCCTCATCAAGAGGTTAATTCCTCCTCACTTTCTGCCAGCAGAGTGGTATCATTTACATATCTGAGGTTGTTGATATTTCTTCTGGCAATCTTAATTTCGTTTTGAGATTCCTCCAGTCCAGCCTTTCACATGATGTATTCTGCATATAAATAAGCAGGGAGACAATATACAGCCTTGTCGTACTCCTTTCCCAATTTTGAACCAATAAGTTGTTCTATATCCAGTTCTAACTGTTGCTTCCTGTCCCTAGATTACTTTTTATACTCACGATAAGTATGTATAGCTCCATTTAGAATACAAAAGAGGCTTGTTTTTCTGGAACTTTCTGGCTTTCTCCATAATCCAGTGCATGTTAGCAATTTGGTCTCTAGTTCCTCTGCCCCTTTGAAATCCAGCTTGTACTTCTGAGAGTTCTTGGTCCACATACAGCTGAAGCCTCCCTTGTAGGATTTTGAGCATAACCTTGCTACAGTGTGAAATGAGTGCCTACCACATAGCCTCCAGTGAAAGATTACTTTTTATACTCATTGTAAGTACGGTATATATAGCTCCATTTAGAATACAAAAGAGGCTGAAATCTCCCTCATCTAGTTTTTCTCTTCTTCCCATGGGTAAAAAAGAAAGAAAAGATATAGGCTCAAGATTTCTTCTCTGTTTTTGAAGGATAAATTGGGAGTGCCAATTTTTCATTTTTAAAAATGAAAATTAAAGGTTTAAAAAAGGATTTTTTAAGGAGACATGTTTTTTAAAAAAAAAAAAATTAAAAGCCTCATGGTAGGAAAAAAAGAAACCTATCCCTACCCTTGTACACTGCCCCCATTTTAATTTGGGACAACATACCCTTATTTAGGGCAAAAGATGCATACTGCATGTTTGACATAACATGCGGTTTAGCTGAAAGTGATCCCTGATGGATGAACAGTAGTGTTTCACCAGTGCTTTCTTGCATTTTTCCTTCATGTGTGTGAAGAAAAGGAAGGTAGCCAAAGCTGATTTCTCAAGCAAAGCGGCAGGGGAGGATGTGCTTAGAACTCCTTTTGGAAACTGATTGTCTTAAGGACAATATGTTAGATGAAGTCATCACTCATGTGGAGATATGGGGAGGCAATATAATTCCAATATAATTCCTTATTCCCTACTGTGTATATAGCACAGAACTGTGAGATCTGCATCCTGCAGTATTACTTTGTGAATTTCATATCTCTTTTCTTACTGTGAAATGGAGGTTCCCAACCTTGGGTCCTCAGATTTCTTGGACTAAACCTCCCAGAAGCCTTCACCACTAGCTCTGCTGGCCAGGATTTTGGGGAGTTGTAGTCCAGGAACATCTGGACACCCAAGGTTGGAAATCACTGCTTTAAAACAATGGTACTCAAACTGGGGTCCCTGGATGTTCTTGGACTGCATCTCCCTGGCCAGCACAGCAAGTGGTGAAGGTTTCTGGGAATTGCAGTCCAAGAACATCTGGGGACCCAGTTTGAGAACCACTGCTCTAAAAATGTAAGTAAAGAACAGAACCATCTCCAGATGCTGCTACAAATCCTCTATGTAGATAATTTTTGGATACACTCCAATTTTTGTATGTATTGAAAGGTATCGTTCAAAATCCAAATTCCTTATTGGATGTATTTCCATGTAATGCTTGCAAAAGTTCCTTTTTAAAAAACAACACAGCTTCCAGAATTTCCCACCCAAAAGTTCTGGAAGTTGTTCGGAAAAAAGAAAGAAATTTTGCAAGCTCTCCTTATATGCAATGAATAATGTTTTCCTATTTGACCCCCCCACACACACACACTACTTGACCTCAGTCTAGTATATCAGAAATGTATTTTGAAAGTTCCCACTGTTTTGACTGTAGATTCTTGGTTGACACGGGGTGAGAGTGGTTTCTCTTTGAGAAAAAAAAGGAGCCTCAGAAGACCTGCTAAGCAAGCAGGTACTGCCCTCCTGCCTCATTCGATTCCAGCCTAATTCACATGTCATTTCTCGGCAGACAGAACATTTTCTTCTTTATTTTAAAAACAGAACCCACATCTCTTACCTTTACTGGATGCTAATGAATTTATGCCACTGAAATAACATGACCTTTTGACAATGTCCATCAAAGGCTCCACTGTGTCTGCCCAGTTTTGAAATTACTAGCAGGATATTGTATTCTTTGTTGCTGTTTTTATCAGAAATGCATAGTTGAAACTACACACATTACATTTGATGTCCTTCAGTGCCACTCCTATAATTAAAGCTTTTATCAATCAAAGAGTTAAATGGGAAATGCTTACGTGCTGGAGACAGGCTAGGAATGTTCCATAATGTTCCATTAGATAGGGGGTGGGCAAAGGGCAGCCCTTTATGTGTTGCTAGACTGCAACTTCCAGCAACTTTAGTGTAGCCAATAATGAAGAATGCTGGGAGGTGCAATCCAACAACATTAGGTAACTTTGTACACCTTTGCAATAGCTATTCAAGCTTGGGAAGTTGGACACTGGATTCATATGACTGCTTACTGCAGATATTTGATAATTCTAGGCATCTCTTACCCTCATTTGCCATCTATAGAACAGAAACTAGCTCATAGGGTTGTGGTGCAGATAAATAAAGTGAAGATTGGAAAGCACTGTGCACCCTGAGAGAGATGCTTAAAATGCTTTAACATTCTTATAATTTATTTGTTTTATCTAGTGTGATATAGTTCTTATTTCTTTCACCCACCAACATGTGTCAGATGTTTAAACGTTAAGGTTGTTGAAAGCAGAGAACTTTTCTAGTTGCCCATTCGTCTTCCTAATTATTTCCTCCCTGGTCCTCCTCTTGTAAGGTAGGTCATTTGTCAGGGACTGATTAGAGTCACCCAGTGAGTTTCAAGATTCTGTGGAGGCTTGAACTTGAATCATTGTGCTGAATATGGATATTCCAAGTCCCAGTTCATCATTCTAACCATCTATAACACACATGTAATAATACAGACTTACCCAGAGCTTGGATGAATTATTTGTTGGCAGTGGCAGTGTTGTTTTATGAATTCTGGGAACTGTAGTCCAAAAGATTAAGTTTTCCAAATTCTAAACTTAATTTGAATGGCAAGATTTATTAGGATAATATGGAACAGTTTGAGCTGTTACAAAACACAAATTGTCCTGCTCATATACTGCCTCATATTTCTTAAAGTGATATCTGGGTGGTTTACAGTTCAATTCTGCAGGCTACACATTGCCCTTCAGCAAACTGGTTAATCAGTTACCCAGACCTCAGAAGGATGGAAGATTGATTCACCCTCAATCCCTGAATTTGGGATTGAACTCAGGTTGTGAGCAGAGTCTTCACTGCAGTATTGCAGTATTTAACCACTGCACCGCAAGAAAAAGCAAATTAATTTAAAAAACCCATTGACTGAAATCCTGTTGCTTAGAATAGTCAGTTATAACTAGAATAGGAGTTGACTTACTAAATCACCAATGATTCAGTGGGCTGTTCTATTTGTGACTAATCAAGCTAAGCGACAGGATTTTGGCCATGTTGTATATATTTGCTGTTCATAATGTGAAAGGTAAAAGATTGCTTCACTTGGAACTTTTTGCAAATTATCAGTTTCAGTGTATTGTGCACAATAGAAAAATATCACACCCTTAAAACCTAGTAAAATGATATTTCAGTCATACTGATTACTTTAGCCCTTTGGCATATAGGTAGCTTTTCGCAATCCTTTTCCTGTTTGAGTATGACTAGATATTTATGCTTCGCTTTCCCTATAGAAAAGACATAAGGCTGACAGCACAGTCAACAAAAAGAAAACAGTGGGTAAGTGCTTAGTTTTTTATGTTACATTGGAAAAGTCTTGATCTGCCTAAGAAATAATTGCTTTTAGGTTCAGTAACTTGTAATTTATGAGTAAATTCTGCTGATGTGAGCTGCATGATAAAACATTAGAAGAAAGGATATGGTTTTTTTAGATGTCACCTGATGGTAATTAGCCATTATCTCTTCCCTAATTATTATAAATGGTGCTTGATTTACGGCAATTAAGCTGTGTTAAGAGGGTCATATGTTACATGTTCTTGAATATAATTTCTGTGAATAATTGTTGTATCCCATTGTACTCTATTGCATTAATTTTTTGTATTAGCTTTTGTATTATTGATGCATTTTTCTTTTATATTATTTGCTGTATTGTCATGGGCCATGGCTGATTCAGCTCTAAACAAATAAAAATGGGAAACAGGAACTGAGTGATTTATACCACTGTCTGGACATTCTTGACATAATGTCATTGCCTCTAATTCACACAGTACAAGCAGGCAATTAGATGGATTGGTGTGATGAAAGGCAATGAGGTTGCATTGCTAGTGTAGAATAGAATGATAGCATTTAATTGCATAAAAGTGTGTGGGGTGGGGTGGGATTGGGGAGTTTATTTATATCAGTTCCCTAAACTGGGTTTTATTTTGCTAGGTAATCCATATCTGTGTTAGTAGTAGAATACCGTATTTGCCAGCATACAAGACGACTGGGCATATAAGACGACCCCCCAACATTTCCACTCAAAATATAGAGTTGATGGCTCTGCTGCGGTGCCGGTGGCGGCTGCCCAGGGCTCTGCCCGGGCCCGCCCTGGAAGTTCATGGCCAGTGATGAGGAGGGCGAAGAGGAGGGGAAGCGGCTGGGCGGGCAGTGGCATCGGAGGAGGAGGGGAAGCTGCTTTCCGGTGGCGGGTGGGCGAGCGGACAGCTGGCTCAGCGGCAAGGAGGGCGAGGAGGAAGGGAAGCGGCCGGCCGGGCCCAAGGAGGGCGAGGAGGAGGGGAAGCGGCCGGGCAGGTGGCAGCTGCAGAGGAGGAGGAGGAGGGGAAGTGGCTCTCTAGTGGCAGGCGGTTGAGCAGGCAGCTGGCTCAGCGGTGCAGGGTGGTGGGCAGCCTGGCGGCGGGCTCTGGCCACTCAGGCATGGCCGGCTCTGCTTCCCTTCCTCCATCCGGACTGACCGCCTGAGTTTTTTGGGCCAAAAAAGTTATCTCATATGCTGGCAAGTATGGTAAGAAAACCCACAATCCACGAAAGCTCATGAGAAATAAAACTTGTTAATACATTTTGTTTACTGATTAATTTAATAATGTGTCTATATTGTGCAGTAGCAAAGGCCCTCTAGGTTCTGTGACCTTGTGGCTATTTGCAGACATGAGGCTTCCAGCTCTACCAGCCAAAAGACCCTGTGAAGTTTTTCAGTCTTTTCTCCTTCATTTATTTTATATAGTAAGAAAAAGAAATGATGGAAGAACTGATAGTGAGACATGCATGGATAGTAAAATACAAGAGGACATTGTCTATACCCTCCATCGAATTATGTGAATGAGGCTAGGCAATCATACAGTAAAAGATTTCAGAACAATTACTGTTTTGGATAAACATCCTAGAGTTCTCCAGATAGCATGTCGTACAAAAACATAACTTTTCCAAAATCTCATCTGGAAGCATCCTAATAGCTGCCAGGAGAAATCTGCCCCCTTAAAGAGTGGTTCGTGGCTCCTAGTTGTCAATCCAATGAAAGTGGAAAACCAGAGCAGTAGGGCCTGCTGATAGAAGGAAGAGCCATGTTTTACATAAAGAGGTTTCCAGGTTTAATACCTGAGATCATCAGACAGGATGGAGAAAGCCCTCACCTATAGAACGTGTGTCTGTCAGTGTGGTAAGAATCGATCTAGACAAACCAGTGATCTTACTAGATGGAAGGCAACTTCATGTCTTCCTTAAGTCACTTAGAAAAAGTAGCAATTAGGGTGTTAGATTACCATCCCCTAAAGTGCCTTTTTCTTAGATGGACTATCAGGTAGAATCACCTAAGAACAATGGACATGCTAGTCTGTGATTCTGTGGAAGAAGGAAAAACTAAGACAACAGAAAATGGAGAAGAATAAATATGAGACTAACTGGTTCAATAAACAAAGTCCTGGCTCTGAGTTTGGAAGGTCTGAGAGGGGCTGCTAACAGTTGGACGTTTTGGAGGTCACGTGATTTGATAGTACAGAACATAACAACACTACAATCTGTGATTATCCTTTTTTGAAGAAATTTTCTTTTTTCCCTTCCTAGTTTTAAGAAATGGAATGTGGCAGAACATTATGTGGAAAGAGGTAAGACATTATGTTGTTTTGGGAATTATATACTATTTAATGCAGTATTTAGTGGTGTTCGTCTTCTTTTGGTCTCTAGTGAAGAGTGCTGAATATTTGTCATTTGTATTTTTTTAAAAAAATCTGAACAGTATAAATATTTCTCAGATCCTTATGTGTTTCTCACTTTCTATCATCAGTCCCAGGCAAGTGATATTCATGAATATAAATCTGGTACTTCTTGTGTTACGTAGTCCTTGTCTACAGATATGGAGAGAAAGTGGACCACATAAATAAAGAAGCTCTGCTATTGGCTGAAATCCTGCTGCTTAGGGTAGCAAATCACAGCTACAGTTGGCCCATTTGAATTGAATAGAATGACTCATCAAATGCCCACTGAATACTCTAATGTGACTTACTACACTGAGCAACAGAATTTCAGTCATTGTTAGTCGAGTTCAGGACTAAATCCAATGCTAGTCCCAGCTAGAGTAGATTTATTAAAAAGGGAACTGATAACATAAATTCCATGTGTTTCAAGAGGTTTATTCTGGTTGGGCCTAATGTTGCATTTAGCCCTCAGAAGCTTAACAACAGGGGTAGAAGCTAGAGATGGGCACTTCATATTTTCCCCCCAATCTCACCCAATCCTACCCCCAAAACTGGCCAGACCACTTACCGGGCTAAGTGTGCTGTTCAGCTTCAGTGTTGTTGTTCTCATGCCAGTCACAGAAGCAGTCCAGCTGGCCCTTTCCTGCCTCCTTGCTGAGCTGACCACTGTGGCATGGAGGTGGGATGGGGAGTCTCCCTGCTCAGCTGGTGTATGGTCAGCTGCATGGGGAGGTGGGGAAGAGCCAGCTGGGGTGTTTCCATGGTTGGCATTACAACAATGACACTGGAGCCGAGTGCCACATGGAGTCTGGTAAGTGGCCCGGCTGGTTCTGAGGGGCAGGATTGGACCACCCAGCACTGTTCATATTTGTTTCCCTAGAGAAATGAAAAAGAAGTGCCCATCTCTAGTAGAAACATATTAACTTCCAGATATTGTTGGACTAAGACTCCCATCAGCTCTAGCCAGTGAAGGATGCTGAGAATTGTAGTCAAACAAGACAAGATGTTCACCTCTGCTATATACTAACTGTGAGCTGTTTCTTGTATACTCAACCTGATACTATCAGTGCTCAGGAAGGAGATCATTATCAGTCTTGGGGAAATACTAATGTTTGCAGAAATGAAAAAAGGGGAGCAGAATGTAAACTGGGGAGGAAGAATGGAATGGATAAGGCTGGCTGACTGACACCCTGAACTGGGGTGCTTCCGACTGCACCTTTTTGATACAGAACAGAGTTACAGCCTTTTAATGTCCGAATATTGGCAAATTTGGATAGGACTGGCAAATCTGGCTTCCTGGATCTACCTTATAGTTCCATCAGAGCTTAAAATTGAGTTTTAATTCCAGAACTCATTGAACTCCTTCATGTTTCTTAATAAAAATCCATTCCTGGTCATTCTCCATCCTGCTCCCACCGTCCACCCAGCAGTTTTCTCTGTTTTAGCTGTATAATTAGGAGCATAAGGTGATTTTATTTTTTACTACAGTTAAAACAATTTGAAGAAATCTTTTCTGTTTTCTTGAAATCATCCAGATATCTACCAGTTGATCCAAGTCTACCTTCTACTTTTCCTTGTTGCAAATAGTTAGTATTTCATGTCTTCTGAAGAAAGTAGCCAGGACACCAAGTCATGAAATTAATATGTAAGATGGCATTTAAGCAGCATGTGCTGTACAAATAATACTGAAATAGCACAAATCCTGAAAGCTAAAAAGGATGGCATGATGCAGCATTGCCATTCATTGTTTGGCCTTGTCTAGTGCACTGTGTTTTGTTCTGTAGCAGAAACTGTTTAAAGTGGGCAGATCAGAAAGAGCACCCTTCATTTCACTTTTAAAAGTCACAGCTGGTATAATGTGGCTACTACTGTAATGTTATGCAAACAAATTAGAAGGAGCTTTGCAAGTGCAATTCTAAAAGACAGTGACCAAGAACCCAACATGCCTGAGAGAGCTAGGGGGGAAAAAAGATTTTGCCTTCCTGGGAAAAGAATATTCTTCAAAATTTGGAAGGTTACAGAATCTGAGAGCGTAAAGGGCGTCTGCTGTACTTTTGTCAGATAAAGCTAGGATGTAATGAGACGACACACATCCAATTGCTTCAGAAAGGTTCACTTTGCAGGGAACAGTCTCTCTCCAACCTGTCCCCTCAAAGTAGTAGTCCTACAGCTGGACCAAAAAGGTCCAGCTTGGGCACGGATTGGAGTCGAGCTGGAGTGCAGTCTCCTGCATGTCATGTGATCATGCTGGGAAATAGAATATCACTAGATGACCCCGTAAGTGGTCCAAAATGCTGTCTATTTCACTGTGTGACGTTCCATTGATAATCAAGCATAAAGGTTTCTGATTAAACTACTGTGAGGGAGATCTTTCATTTGGAGTGCAGCTGGGCTGCTTAAAATGCCCTGGAGGAAAACCTGGGCATTCTCTGTTTGTTATATGGAGTAGATTTGCACAATGTCACGGTTTTGTTTGCAACAGTTGATTCTGAAATGTAGGAAGCAGAATAAACACCCGTAAACATGTAGGGACACATGGTGGATATTCTGAGCTGTTCCAATAGTCTGGATTGCCTCTAGTGTGTACCTGTTGGCCTTCTCAGCCACACTAAACACTGTTCCAAGTCCTCCATGCAGAGCATGATACCATAGTCTCTCGAGACTGAAGGACGCCTAACCATACCTGTTGGGAAGAGGGGGCTACAACTGTCATATTCATTCACCCAGCAGGGTTGCTGGGAGTTGTACTTTCCTTGGCTTTGATCTGATTGTTTGATACAATCGTTCGCTGTTCTTTCAGGGAGATGCTGTTTTATATTATAAGTACATCTTTTCTTTTGTTCTTGTGTTTGTTTTAAACGATAATATATTTTGCATATTTGTATTCATGGTGAGAAACCACAATTTGTTTTGTTTCTTAACAAGTCCCAGAATCTCATAGAACGAAACTGCTTGCACTATAGAGATAGTACAAGGGGGCTGACTTTTATGGTGTTTGTGCAAAGAATAATATATGCTTCCCCATTCACAAGCCAGTTATTACAACAGGGATCTGTGCTTGAGTATCAGACAAGGAGTCTAACAAATGTAAACAACAAAGCAAAAGCAAAGTGTGCTACTTATATTCCACTCCATAGCACTTAAAGCACTCTTTGGATGGTTTACAATTTAATTATGTAGGTTACACGTTGTGCCCCCAGTAAGCTGGGTACTCAATTTACTGATGTTGGAAGGATGGAAAGCTTGAGGCAGCCTGCAGGGTTGCTACCTGGGCCCATCAGGATTGAACTCATATTGTGAGCAAAGCCTTGATTGCAGTACTACAGTTTAACCACTGCACCACTAGGCTTCTGCTTTCCATTTTTCAAATGTCAGATTATACTTACTATGTAAAGCATGAATGTTCTCTCAAGCTGTTGGCAGCTCCGCAGCAACATATCAATCAGAGAACTTGTCTTTGGTATGGTGGTGGTAGTGAGAGAAAATGGGAAGTTCCTGCCCCCTCCCTTTTTTCTCCCTCTCCCCCAAACTCTTTTCATCTTTCTCTTTGAGTCTCTCAATGTCGCTCTTCCTTTTTTTTTTGGATGGTGCAGCCCTTCGTCCCTTTCTTTTTTACGATCTATGCCGGGATGCCGTTGTATTTGTGTTCGCTTTAGTGCTTCTAATCCTAAACCCTGACTAGGTGGCAAGGAGGAAAGCTCTGATCCTTGTACCACTACACCAAAAAGCTCATCAGTCACGCTCATGATAAGACCCAGTCGTTTCCCTTTCTTTCGTTAATGCTTAACAATGCGGATGGGCTCTCTCTTTCTCTGTGTTCATTTTCTCTTTTTCCATACTTCTGCTGCACTCCTGCCCCTGACTCATAAGGTGGCAGTGGGAGACATTGTGAAGGTCACCAATGGGCAGCACCTACCAGCAGACATGATCATTTTATCTACCAGGTCAGGTACACTGAATGGGTGTGAAGTGATGCTTCTGCTAAACTGAGGCTTAAAAGCACTGCTTTCTGAACTGGGGCAAAAATCATAGAATTGTACAATTGGAAGGTACCCCGAGGGTCATCTGGTAACCACTCTCACCAGTGCAGGAAATCCATGAAAACATTTAGCCACCAACTCTTTTTTAAAACCCTAATCTCTCTTGTTGTTTTAAAAATCCTAACTGTACAGGATAACATACTCTTCTTCTCTTTTTCCATGTATAGATCACACATGTCAGTTTGAAAAAGTTGCTTTTTCCTTGTACTAACACTCGTAGAGCCCCCAGGCCAACATAGGTATTTGAGTTAATGTCACCTGAAAAAAGCAATTTTTTTCAAGTCCTGGCTCTCGTATAGCTTTTAAACGTTCAGTGGGCAAACAAATATGCACAAAAGTAGTGCTGTGCTCTCATCTGTTCCTCAGCAATTAAACCAAAAGAAAAACCACACATAAGAAATGGGACCGCCTTTCTGCAGTGTGATAGTTATGAGAGTGGTGCACTATCTCACACTGTAGGCTCAATTTCTGGCAAGGGTAGGGAAATAGGTCTCCTCCAGTTTTAAACTGTAGCTTCCCTAATTCACAACCACAGACTGTACTGGCTGAGGCTTGTGGGAACAGTAGTTCAAAAGGTCTTCAGACCAACAGATTCTATAGTCTTGTCTTAACTGCATGTTGTCAAAATGGATGACAGCCCTTCACCTCTGTCAACGATTAGAACCAAATGACAACATGCCAGTTGCATTGAAGAATTAATGTTTGTTTATTTGGTTATATCCCACTAGCCTTTTCGGAAGGCTCAGGGGCTAGGCTGGGGATTTCACAGGCGTCTCTCATCTAGGTTCTGACTTAGACCTGGTTTCAGCTGCATCAGGGGCCTTGTCTCAATCAGCATTTAGGAAAGAACTACTACTACTACTACTACTACTACTACTACTACTACTACTACTACTACTACTACTACTACTACTACTACTACTACTACTACTACTACTACTACTACTACTACTACTACTACTACTACTACTACTACTACTACTACTACTACTACTACTACTACTACTACTACTACTACTACTACTACTACTACTACTACTACTACTACTACTACTACTACTACTTATGGTTCTGGGTGTTGTAGTCCAAAAAAAAAGCAACTTTAAAAAATTCTGGTCAAAAGCATCTTGTCTTTCAACCATAAAATCATAAAATGGTAAAACTTATATGACATTTGTTGATATAGCCCAGTATATCTTGTAGCAAATCCAGATAACAATATCACAAAAATAAGAATGATCCTAAACTCACAAAATTGCAAATCATTTTCCACTTAACCTTGCCCTGTGAAGTTACAGCAATATGTGAATTTTTGGTGTCTATATCTGGTCCACATTTCATAAAAGATATACACATTTTTCTTTTACACAAAAGAAAATAGGCCCGGTTTATTATATTCTGGTGCCATACCATTACAGCAATAGCCACCCCGAGTAGACATGGTCTAGAGGGGCAGGGGTATAAATTCAATAAATAAATACATAAATCAATCAATCAATCAATCAATCAATCAATCAATCAATCTGAATGGAGAAACCATATGGGCTGAGAGAATAACATGTTCCTTTCCTACACTCCTCAGGAAGAACGGCAAATGAGCACAATTTTGCTTGTGTGGTTTTTCCATACAACTCCTAATAAAATGGTGTTGGGCTGGATGTAAATTCTATATTGGTCCATTGTCACCATGTTTAGCTTAAATGATAGCAGAATATGATCCAATGTCTTTCTGTTCTCAATTTCTATTTTAGATTACTCTTGGTGATATCAGTAGATACATACTGAAGCACAGAAGGTCAAATTAGAAATTAAAAGAAACACATGTTCTCTTTCATTAATCCATTTACTCTCCCACAATTGGAGTTCTTCAGAAATATGCAGTTTCCTCCAACATATCGGTCTCAGTAACTAGAGTGTCAAATTATGCCCATCTGTACTTTACAACGACAAATCACATCACATGGTTAAAGCAAAGCTCAGAAAATGTATGATATATGGTTGATACTGGGATGGGAAACAGATTTTTTCTGCTCTGGAGAGAGTGCTACTGGGGAAAAAATATAAATATGTTCCCTAGTTTGCTTCAGAGGTGTGTATGTTATTTTTAAAGAATTGCCTCAGTTCACCAGAGTATGCATGATTGGAAAATGTTGTATTTACTGATTTTGTAGGAAATGTGCATTTATGTTATTTTTTTTCATGATTCTGTTAATTTAAAATATACTTTGTACTGGAAAGATTAAAAAACCCAAATTCAATTAATCATTTTTGTGGGAGAAAAATCTATGGTTGAATGAAATTATTTTTCTAGATCTCCATTTATTCTTAAAACACTTCTCTTGCAGGCACCTTCCTTTTCAGAAGTTGCTTTCAAAGCAAGGTGTGGTTGATACAGTATATAACAATCTTTCTTACTGTGAACTGACAGTGAACCTCAGGCAATGTGTTATATTGAAACAGCAAATCTGGATGGGGAGACTAACCTTAAAATACGACAGGTAAAATTGAATTTGTTTCTTTCACTTCCATAAACCTGTTGGAAAATGAGATTTGCAGGTGGATACCTGAATATGGATCTTTCACCTCAAATAGGAGCATAGAATGGCGCTAATGTTCTCACAGTATCTTATATTTTCTCCAGGGAGCTTAAATTGGTGTACAGCCTCCTCAACTGATCTTTACAACAACCCTGTGAGGTTGTTCAGGCTGAGAGAGAACTTCTGGATGGCTCTGAGGTTTAGGTATCTGGTTGATGAACCAGAGGTTGGGAGTTCAATTCCCCACTGTGCCTCCTTGACAGAGGCTGGACTTGATGATCTGTGGGGTCCCTTCCAACTCTGCAGTTCTCAGATGATGATGATGACAAAGTACATCCAGGGAAATTTGTGACTCAGTAGGAACTTGAGCCTGGTCTCCCAAACCCCAGCTCAGCATTCCAATCACTTCATCATCTTAACCAGTATTAAGTATCTTGAGTGGCAGTGACTCTCTATTCCCCATCCCTTGACCTTGTAAATTGGAGAAGCTGGACTTGATACCTTTCACATGGAAAACAAATGCTCTGCCATTGCACTCTTAGCACCTCTAAAGGTATGGCTTATAGCAGTAGCAGCCTGTTTCCTGATGTGCTGCCCAGAGTAGACATGTTCTAGTTGGGCAGTATATAAGTCTAAACACCACCACCACCACCACTACTACTACTGATAATAATACTAATATTACTAATATTACTAATATTACTACTACTACTACTACTACTACTACTACTACTACTAATAATAATAATAATAATAATAATAATAATAATAATAATAATAATAATAATAATAATAATAATAATCATACTGAATCTCCCACACACTGAGGGTTGCATTACCACTGTTGAAGTTGCTGCTGAGGCAAAGAGGCAGTCATGAAAGCAGCAAAATCAGGGAGCTAGACGGGGCACAGATTGTATTTGTCCTCAGTGTGGAAGGGCTTGTCATTCTCGAATTGGCCTTCTCAGCCACACTAGACGCTGTTCCAAGTCCTGAATCTGCCACACACTGAGGGTCGCATTACCACTGCTGAAGTTGCTGCCATCATGACAGGTGACGTGTGGCAGCTTTCCATTATGCAAGAAGGAACCAGAGCGCCCTCACAAGCCATAGAGCCTTGCAGCCTAGAAAGACAGAGTATCTTTTTTGGAAGCAAAAGGAAAGAGAAAAAGACTTTTTACTCTGCAGCTGTGTCATATTTTGGTGGTCTGCTTGTGTGAGTGGGTGCTTTCAGCAACATTTGGAGGGCTTATCAGACATTGGTTAATTCTTATTGGGGAAGAGATAATTAAAATGAAGCCAAAGAGGAGTTGATATTTCCCTCCCACATCTTTCTTTCTTAAACAAGAGAAAAATCTTTATTGCTTCTTCAAGTTGTGGCATACCTGTAATCCAGATAACCTGGAGGCTTCCTGTTTCACCTGTAATATGGCCAGTAGGAACAGTGCTGCAGAGTTTGCAGTAAGAGTAGAATTTGAGTAGTTTGGCTCAGTATGCTTCAAGTGACTAAATATATTCATTGTACAGACATGCTGTAATCCATGGAAGTATAATAAATGGCTTCTTTGATGACCCTGCCTGTGGCTTTAATCCTCACAGGGACTGACGCAGACTGCTAGTCTCCACTCAAGAGATGACTTGATGAAAATGTCTGGGAAGATAGAATGTGAAGGACCCAACCGGCACCTTTATGACTTCACTGGAAACTTACGCCTAGATGGTCAGAGGTAGTCATCTGATAAAAATAGTATACAAGGGGTCCAACTGCAGGATGTGCCTTTTCTTGTTGAATTTTCATTCATGTTTTTGGTCTTTATTTTATTATTTGTAAAAGTTTTGTGTTTCTGGTTTTGAGGTCAGAATATGAATAAAACTAATAAATTAGTTGAGTCAATCAATCAATCAGTGAATAAATCAAAAAGTAAGTGTTTTCCTATTTGTTAAGCAAAAGCAAGTGTGGAATACCAGGTCTCTCTTGACTGCCCTCCACGAGTGTGGCAGTGCATACACAAGAAAAATCGACTCACCACCCAGTTGTGGTACTTTACGTTAAAAAGAGGAGGCAAGATCCAGCTAAAGCTAAGCATGCACATATCACTACATAGAATTTAACCCTACTTTTAAAATACACCAATAATTGATTTGCTTTTTTTGGTTCCTTGTTTGTTAATCAGAAGACACTGGAGAGTGGAACACATTGAAGAGCAGGGGAATACATTGCTCGCCTGAAACCAGTAAGAGGGTCTTCCCCTCTACTGTTACTGCCATGTCACTAATTTGCTGCCTTTCCACTACAGTGGTGCCCCGCATAGCGAGGTTAATCTGTTCCGGATTAACCATCGCTATGGGGAAACTTCGCTATACGGAACGGAAAACACCATAGAAACGCATTAAACTTAGTTTAATGCGTTCCTATGGCTCCTAAACTCACCGTTCTGCGAAGTTTTTCCATAGCGCTGCCATTTTCGCACCCTCGGTAAGTGAGGGCAGGGTGCAAAAATGGTGCGGGCGGCCATTTTGGGTGTCCGGTGGCCATTTTGGAACCGCTGATCAGCTGCTTCCAAAATGGTCACCGGGTGCAGAAATGATCACAATGCGATGTTTAGCCTATCTAAACATCGCAATGCGATCGCATTAGCAACCCCCAAAAACGGGTCGCTATGCGGATTCGTCGTTAAACGGTGCACTCGTTAAGTGAGGCACCATTTTAGTGTCTAAAAAAAGACATTTTGACTTGAAATTATCAGATAACTATATGCAGTCCACGTTATGTGTTTTGCAAAGGCTGCATATTTTTTTCATCCCTGTGATAAAGCCACATATACATGGATGTTCATTGGGTGGTTCTATATCAAATAATGAATTCAGTGGGGAAATAGAGCAGTTCCTTTACTAATTTTGTTCTTCTCATTTCAAGTGTTGAAAGTATACCTGAGGTTACATTTTTAACTTTCTAACTTCTTTCTTCTCTTCAGTCCGGTTCCCATTGGGCCTGATCAGATCTTACTCAGAGGTGCACAGATAAGGAATACTCAGTGGGTTTTAGGAATAGTTGTCTACACGGGACATGATACAAAACTTATGCAGGTAAATAACTTCTAATCCAAAATAAAGCTCATCATTGTTTCTGTTGTAAAATCTGGCATTTCTTTCCCATCATTTTTGTGATCACTTAAGCGGTGTTGGAAAGGGACGTGGTGGCGCTGCGGGCTAACCCGCAGAAGCCTGTGCTGCAGGGTCAGAAGACCAAGCAGTCGTAAGATCGAATCCACGCGATGGAATGAGCGCCCGTCGCTTGTCCCAGCTCCCGCCAACCTAGCGGTTCGAAAGCATGCAAATGCAAGTAGATAAATAGGGACCACCTCGGTGGGAAGGTAACAGCGTTCCGTGTCTAAGTCGCACTGGCCCCTAGAGTCGAACACGACTGGACAAAAATTGTCAGGGGGAACCTTTACCTTTACTTTTTTAAGCAGTGTTGACAACTTTTCAACCATGACTACTGCAGCTGTGCCTTTAGGATTGGTGAGGTAATCAGTTCAAAATGTTCACAGCAGGGAGGTAAATTTATCATAGTAATACTGAAGGACTATACAGTGGGGTCTCTACTTAAGAACTTAATCCGTATTGGAAGGTGGTTCTCAAGTTGAAAAGTTCTTATGTTGAATCTGCATTTCCCGTAGGAATGTATTGAAAACCATTTAATCCGTATCTGCTCTTTTCCGTCCATAGAAACTACAGTGGAACCTCTACTTAAGAACTTAATCCGTTTTGGAATGGTGTTCTTAAGTTGAAACGTTCTTAAGTTGAAGCAAAATTTCCCATAGGAATGGACTGAAAACCAATTAATCCGTTCTGGCTGTTTTTTTGTTATGTAGAGGTGCATTCGTACATTGAAGCATTAGTTCCCATAGGAACTAATGCAAAGCTGGTTAATATGTACTCTACCACTAGGGGAAAAAAATTTTTTTAACCTAAGATGACCTAAGGTTAAAAAAAGAGCAGGAAAGGTTTTTTTTCCTGTTCTTATCTTGGATTTCTGTTCTCAAGTAGAAGCAAAATTTAGCAAATGGAGCTGTTCTTAAGTTGGATTGTTCTTAAGTAGGGACGTTCTTAAGTAGAGACCCCACTGTAAGTGCTCATGAACCCAGCTCTTCTGTCTTTGGGAGGACTCTTCTCTTGGCCAAATTTGGGATTGGTCTTGATGATTCTTAGTGTCCCTTCCAACCTTACAATTCTGTTCTCTTTAATTCTCAAGTTCCACAATTTAATCCCATTTGATCATCTGTTCCCATAACACAACCCTTTTGGTATTTGGAGAATGCTATCATGCCAACATTTGGGTTGGTAGACAACCCTGCAAGTATGAATAGCCACAGGGGGATTCTTTGGCCACAGAAGCTCTGTCATTAGCCCCAGCCCTGTCCTGACTGAACTATCTCCTTGGAACCTGTATTTAGACTCCATTCATTATTGTTTCTCTCTGGATGTTTTTCAGAATTCAACCAAAGCTCCCTTGAAGAGATCAAACGTAGAAAAAGTGACAAATATGCAGATTCTCATTTTGTTTTGCATTCTCCTTGTCATGGCATTAGTAAGTTCTGTGGGTGCCTTACTGTGGAACAGAACACATGGAGAAGACATTTGGTACTTTGGCTCAAATGGTGAGCAGAACTGAGATGTATAAATTCATGTGCATTTATTCCATGGCAACCTTCTCCAACATAGTGCCTCCAGAGGTTTAGGGACTATAATGAACATCATCCCTAGCCATTCACTGTGCTGACTGATGCTGTTGAGGGTTGTGGTCCCAAGAATGCCAAGGTATCAGGCTGGAAAGGCTGTTCTAAGGTCCCACATACTATGTGCGTTTAGTCGTGTCCGACTCTTCATGACCCCATGGACCAGAGCACACCAGGCCCTCCTGTCTTCCACTGCCTCCCAGAGTTGGGTTAAATTCATATTGGTCACTTCGATGACACTGTCCAACCATCTCATCCTCTGTCATCCCCTCCTCCTCCTGCCGTCACACTTTCCCAACATCAGCGTCTTTTCCAGGGAGTCTTCCTTCTCATGAGATGGCCAAAGCATTGGGGCCTCGGCTTCAGGATCTGTCCTTCCTGTGAGCACTCAGGGTTGATTTCCTTCGAAATAGATAGGTTTGTTCTCCTTGCAGTCCAGGGGACGCTCAAGAGCCTCCTCCAACACCCCAATTCAAAAGCATCAATGCTTCGGCGGTCAGTCCTGTTTCTCTCTCACCCCCACATACTATACATGCCTACAACTTCCCGTGCACCATTAATTTCTCATGGTATTTCCACCTCAGAGAAGCAGTTTCTTGTGTGTGCCAAGCAAAAGCACCTCTTGTTATTGTCTCAGCTGCTTATAGGTATCATATTGCAGTGTTAAGCAGGCAATGAGGACAGGAATTTGTCTGATTTCCTTTTGTGCTTCCCGTATCAGATTCAGTTGTAACCTGCTTGCAAGAGGCCACAGAGATAGCAGACACTGGGAATTAAAAAAAAAAAGTCAACCAGTTATGGCTCAGGAGAAATATAAACAAAAATCCAGTTTTAAATAAGTGGATGTATAGAAGAAAGACTTTCAGTGATGGAAGCAGGATTGTTGAAAGGCCCATTGTTGTATCAAACCAGGGATAATTGAACCCTCCTGATGTTGTTGTCCACAACCCTTATCAGCTACCCCTCCTCCCAAAAATCAAGCTACGGAGCAGTAGGCCAAAATATCAAAAGGGCAAAAGATTCCACTACCCTCCACTCCGCCCCTGCTTTTAGACATGCCCACACCCATCTCTGAGGTGTAGGGGAATACATGGACAAGGATTATGAAGATAATTTTGTTTCACTTTTTAAAAAGTAGAATTGAAACAATGCAAAAAGAAAACAAGCAGTGGGGGGGGGAGAGAGAAAAACAGGACTGAACATTGCCTAAGTAGATGGAAAATGCTTAAAATGGCAGGGGTGAAAGGTGTGATGACAAGGAGAACAAAGGGAGGTCGTTTGTGGATGGAGCACGTGAGCTCCTGTCCTCCTCTATGGTTTGTAACAATAATGTAGGCACAGTGTCTGCTGGGCAGAACCAGTCACAGGAGGAGGGTGTTTAACCCGTTCATTTCTGACCAGATCTCTCTCCCAGTTCATAAGAAAAGCCCTGCTAGATCAGACCTAAGATCTTTCTAGCCCAACTATTTGATTCTCATAGTACCCAACCAGTCAGCATGCTGGAGGTGGGATTCTGGGGTTTATGGTCAAAAAAGAAACTTTTCTGAGCTTAAAGGAGTTTGTGTGATATACAACTGTACAGCCACCTATCTCGATGTTATTTCCACTGTGGTGACTCTCTTCCCTGTTGTCCGCCTTTTGCATCTACAGAAGCACTCTCTATCAACTTTGGATACAATCTCCTCACATTCATCATCTTGTACAACAACCTCATTCCCATTAGTCTGTTGGTGACTCTGGAAGTCGTGAAGTTTACTCAGGCTCTTTTTATAAACTGGGTATGTATGTGCCTAGCACCTAGAATGAAGGGCAGCATTTTATTTAAGTAAGATTAAGCATGGAAATATGAACTCTCCATCTCTCACCCACTCACACAAGCTTGGAAAAGTTATATCTTTAGATTGCAGCCGCCAAGATGCATCATGCTGGCTTGGAGGTTCTGAGAATTGTAGTCTCCAAAAAGTAATTTTCCTGGGCTTCAGCATGGTAATGGGAAGTTGTAGTAGCATGTCTTTTTCCACTGTTGATGCCACAATGGGTAAGATGACAGAATAAGACCAGTAGAAAGTTTACCCAACTAAACTTATCCTGTCATTGCTTTCTAGTGACATTTCTTGAAAACAGTCAGGACTGGTGTGTCCGTGCAGGCAAAAGCACTCACTGTCTAATCTGTCTGCCTATCTCTGTCCTCTTTTTATTGTTCTTCAACAAGTCTTTGAAGTTCAGTAGAGAGCAACCAGTAGGCTGCTGGTTGCTGTCAGCAGCATTCTCTCTGAATAATTTGGAAAGAAGCTAGAACGAAATATCTGCCTATATATATGTACACAGTATTCCTTTGTTTGGGGGGGGGAGGTAAAATGTCAGGCAAGTATAAGACAAAAATAAAATGCTGAACAAAACAAAAACTGTAAAGAAAACAGACCAGAACTGTGTACAAATATTTGTTTAAAACTTGACAATTAAATTAAACATATAATATAGCATGGAGTCCCCGATAGAAGTAGAATTAGATTAAACATGATCCCTTCTGCTTGCTTCCAGGATATAGATATGTATTATACTGAAACAGATACACCTGCAATGGCCAGAACTTCAAATCTTAATGAGGAGCTAGGCCAGGTAAGAATGGGATGCTATGTTGTATCACAGTTGCATAACTTTCTCCACTCCTGTATTTGCATTTTTGTGAAGCAGCTTGAGGTGTTCCTGAAATCAAAGTTGATCACAGTGATAAACTGAAATTCATGCTTCCTCTTTAAAGAGGGGCAACGCTTTAAAAGTCGCATTGGGAACTGTGGCTCTCCAGATACATAACGTATCTTGAATGTCAACAGTCTTACTGTAACTTTATTTTTGGAGTTATCGGTACTATTGACTAATAAGCAGATCTTTGTTAGTTAAAGCGTAAGTAAATGTAAGTAAAATATGGCTGGAATTTTAAAGACTTTAAAACTAGTATAAAAGCACAGCTTTAAACTTCATCAGAACATTTTCCTTTTTTGAAAAACTGCCTATCCAGTTTCACTTTACACATTTGGTAATCATTTTCTATTACTGTGTTCTTATGAAAATGACTCTTTTGTGTTGTTCCATATTTAAAAATCCTTATATCAGATGTTAATCTTGCTTTTGATCTCAGCGGCCATATCCTGTTGGATCTTCCATGTGTGGAATAGAAATTGTGGAAGTAGAAGTAGCCATGGCTCGTTAGTGAGGTGTTGGTAGTGTGCCTGGTTACACAACTGATACCTTGCCAAACAGCAGAGTCTGCTTCCACAACTTCCATTCCTTAGACAGAAAATACAAGAGGCTAATGATCATTATGCTTTAATAGTGAAAGAAATTTAAAAAAATCAAGGGTGTTCGCAGAATGATTCTTATAAAACTATTCTGATATTTACTCTGCTTCCAAACAACATTTTATTGTAGGACATTTTAAATGTGCTCCATGAACTAGCAATAAATATATTTGAGATAAACCAAACTGTACAAATGGATTATACCTTTATTAGGATCAGCTCCCGGTGTGTTGTAGTGTATAGAGTGATGGCCTAGGACACTGGAAAACAGAGTTCAAATATCCACTTGGCAATGGAAACTCACTGCGGGAGCAGAACTGGTTAAAACCACTCCTTAAATATTAAGGTCGCTATAAGTCAGTTCAGATTTCACACACACCACACACACCACACACCACACACACACC